AACTGCCCTGAAGTCCAGACCTGTTGATAACTAAGTGAACTGTTGGACCGAACCCCTCACTGAGTTTAGGAAGGAGGATTTTACTTCGGAGACAGCGTTAATGACTTACCATTGTAGGAGCTGCCTTTGATGTTCTACAAATGGGGAAACTGAGGACTAGAAGAGTCAGAGGATCGTGGGTCTAGAATTCAAAGGGGCCTCTCAGACCATCTGGCCCTTTTTCTTTATTCTAAAGAGGATGGAACTGAGGCCCAGGAAGGTGAAATCTTGTATGCCTGAGATCATACAAGTGCACTGGATAGGATTTGAGCCTGGTTTCCATCTCTCCAAATCCAGCATTCTTCCCAAAATACTAATCTGTCTTTGTTGTACCGATTAAGTAGATATAATAAGCCTGTAGTCACTTAATGGCCAGCTAGTTGGGACGGTTGATAGAGGACCGAGCCTGAAGTCAGGAAGATTCTTCTTCTTGAGTTCAAATCTGGCCTCAGACGTTTACTAGCTGTGTGACCCTGGGCGAGTCACTTCACCTTGTTTGCCTCAGTTTCCTCATCTGTCAAATAAGCTGGAGAAGGAAATGGCAAACTCCTCCACGATCTTTACCAAGAAAACCCCAGGAAGTGTTGGACATTACTGAAAACAACTGAACAACAACAATGAAGTCACTTAATGAGGCTGTGTCTTAGAGAGTAACTTAAGGCTTGTATTCAAATCCCACTTCTGGGTGCTCCCTGTATGTCTGTGGCCCTTTTGTTTCCTGTTTCCTTACTCCAGGCCTCAGTTACTTCATCTGTAAAATAAAGGTGTTGGACCAGGTCAGGGTTCTTCACAGTGTGTGTGTGTGTGTTGGACCCTTTTGGACAATCTGGTAAGATATGTTTACCTTGCCTTAGAATAATGTTTTGAAATTCATAGAATAAAATGCATAGAATTGCAAAAGAAACAGAACGTATTGAAATACTATCATCAAAATATTTTATAAAAGTCACAGACTGCCAGGTTTCAGAGACCTGGGCTTGATAATTTCTGAGGGCCCTCCAACTCTAGAACGATGATAATCTGTTTCTGTCACTTATGCTCTCGGAGGACTCAGTTTCCTCATCTAGAAATTGAAAGGACTGGGGATCCTCTGATTCCGCTATGCCTTATTGTGGACTAAGAGGGAAGGGAAGGGGAGGGGAAAGCAATAAGCGATTCTATAGCACCTATTATGTGCCAGGTATTCTATAAATCTTATCTCATTTTACCCTCACAAAAACCCAGAGAGGCAGAGCTGTTGCTGTTATTATCCCCATTTCATCACTGAGGAAGTTGAGGCAGTCAGAGGTTAAGTGACTTACCCAGGGTCACACAACGAGGAAGTAGCTGAGACTGGACTTGACCTCAGGTCTTCCTGAGTCCAAGTCCAGCACTCCATGCACTCTAATGACTGCCTCGTTTCCCCTAGGCTCTTGTAGAGAGGCAGCCTGGGTTCTTAATGTCTCTGTCAGCAGAGCCCAACTTTTTCTTTCTTTCTTTTTCTTTCTTTCTTTCTTTCTTTCTTTCTTTCTTTCTTTCTTTCTTT